TCCCGGGTTACAAGCTGTACTTCTTTCGTGTGTCCGCCTTCCACAGGATATTAAAAGTTATAAATGGAATGGATTATGCCTTCAGATGATAAATTTACAAAAATGATCAAATGGGTTTCTAAACCGAAATGAAGATGATCGTCTCATATTAATGGATTAGATGTCTGCAATTATGTAGGAGAAGATTATGCCGGAGTTTCAGAAGAACCGAAAGGATCCAACATAGCGCTCGGATTATCTCCAATAACTCAGGAAAACTAAAGGAGTTCAAGAGACACAGAAAAAATCACTGTCGGACAAAAATGTTTAGCTTGCACACCTTAGCATGATAATTTTTAGCAAGAGTTCAGTGGCGCCACTAATGCGCCATAAGCTAGAGGGAAGTAAATAATACCTTAGCATAGTCATGCGATTTAATAAATTAGGGCATGAATTTGTAATTTGTAAATCGCACAAATGGAGCCAAAATAAATGCCTGTCTAAATAGAGTGGTTACAATTGACTGTAAGGTCGAAGTGATGCTTAGGTGGCATGGAGACAGAATATGAGCTGTGAAGGATCGAGATGAGGCCAGACAGGCTTTAAGGGCTATGGGTCCCAATATCGTTTGCATTACAAGCAAGGACTGTTTCAATATGATATAAAGGTTCACTTGTGGGCGGAGCGTTTGGTACAAAGGAAATCTACTATGGTAGTGAGTTTATATAAACGGATAGTCCAGCATCAAACTCAAAAGTGTGGTTGCATCTTGGAAGAAAGAAAATAAATAAATACTTCAGGAAAATCCTTTGGACCTTCCGAGTATAGGTGGCTATAAAATAATGAAGCTTTCAATTTGGCGAGATGCATTCCTCAAATCTAAAACTTGAGATAATACAGCCCCACTTTGTCATTTTGTGCCAAGATAACCGCTCTGCAGATTTCCTGTAAATAAGCCCAGATATCCTTCCGGAGAATCTATTTATACTTCATGTCTCGTTAAGATAAAAATAAAGTCTTGAAGGTGTCTGCATACTCACATGGCTAGGAAAACTTGGTTTTTATATTTCTATCAGGCCCTCGGATTTTTTTAAGGTCTCAATCTAAAATGATGAATCACGAAGTCTAGCTACAATAAAGTTTCTTTGTTGCCCTACAGCAAGTACTTTTTAGCTTTTTTGAGTACCCTCAAAAAGTGGGAAGGGCATTACGCTTGGGCTCTAGCATATATCATTCTGCTGATAGGCTAAATTGGGATGAGTCTTTTATAAAAGCTAAAGAAAATTTGTTCTATGAAGCCTATTAATAAAGAAACAGACTCATGATAAATAGTACATGAAATAGCCTAAAGATGAACACTTACTTGATCATACATGTCCTTCATACCGCCCGAAAATCCACGCCAGTTGGCGAAGATGAAGAGAGGCAGACCTTCCTTGGCTATGTCCGAGATAGCCTGCGCTGTTTTGTAGGCAGAGTCCGGATACCATACCTGACCAGCCTGATTGACGGTCTGTGCCTCCGACTGAGGATTTGCAGGGTCGGCAGGCACTCGAGAGATTACCGAACGCGTCTCTGCGGTGATCACGCCACAAGGTATCCCGCCAAGGCGAGCACGACCTACGATAACACTAGCCGCCCAGGCCTAATAGCAACAGGTATATAAGATCAAGCAGCGGAAGATGATGAAAGCGAGTTTAAGTAAAAGGTATAAAAGAATAAAGGATAGGAAAGTGCAAATTAAGAGTATTGCGAGAAGAGAGACGAATGTGAATCTGAAGAGAAAAGGGTAAATAAGATTTCGAAACTATTCTAAGTAATAAGGGTAGTCCACCTAATACTCTCAAAAGATTAAATCTACCAACAATATAGACTCACCTAAATTAATAAACCAGTATCATCACAAAATCAGGTTTAGGAAACTAACATCAAAGTAAATGGGAAAAAAAGATGGGTTTCGAGGAATCTCTTGTATCATAATTGTTGTGCTTACTTCCATTTCGAGTGAAAGATTTTGGTGAAGAGATTTGAAGGTCGATTCCACCAGAAGACGACGGAGGATTGCTCTTGACCAGCAGTTCATTAGCTTTGCTGGAACATTCATGTTGACGCTATTTCCAAGGTAATCTCCTTAGATTCCGATGAAAAGGTGCTAAGCTTTCGTCCGTCATATGACGAACATTATCAAAGCAAGGTATCATCATCACAACCAAATTCAAGCTAACGAATCAAGAAAACCCATCGGCAAATCCCTAAAAAGCAGTATGTATACTCTAAAACTGGCCTCTTTTATCAAATATAAAGTGATTTGGTTAGGTAAGGTTATATGTCAACTTTAAAGCTTGCGAGTGTGTGTGCAAGTGCCTGGTTGTATTCACTTTTGCAGCAAACCAGCAGTATTGGCTCAAAGTTATTAGGACAGCAAAATAACATCTTTTTTCGGCCATCATAATTAATGACCACTATCTCCCCCTTTCCACATACATATTATAACCATCACTCCGATTGCGCAAGGTAGGACACACGTCTGGCTTTGTTGATGAGCCTGTTTTTTGTTTTTGGTCTCAATGTGAGAGAGAAAGAGTGAGCTAAAATTACAGAGAAATGACCATTATTAGAACCAAGACAAGAAAAGACTAGTTGCGTCGTCTCCTTTTTGAAGATGTCCCAACTCTCTCTCTATCTTTGACTCTATTAATTAAGCACAAGTAATGTTTATAGAAGTGGGTTGACCTCGTTGTCGCAACTTGGTCTTGTGTTCAGGGAGACTATGTAGAACGCGCCG